ACTTCAACTCCCAGAATTCCCCCGCCAGCCATGCTGGCTGGGGGACTCTGGGGGGTGAAGTCCACGTATCTTAAAGTTGCCAGGGTTGAGACACACTGTCCTAGAGGAAAGGGGGCAACTCAGTGCAAAAAAATCATGTTAATGAATTGTCTTGAAACTTGTCTTGACCTTTAGAAGCACTGTGTTTATTGCCTGCATCATCTGCTGCCTAAGGTTATATTAAAGTGAGTGGAACCACCACTTGCTTCCAATTTAGGATCAAAAGACTTGCTTCTGACAGGAATACAGGTGGCCTAAAATTAGTATGTATTACTGACAAATTATGGCTCACTAGGACAATCAGTTAAGGATTTACAGGAGTTCTTTGCATAGTGAGCCCATGCAGGTTGGATAAAATCATTATTACATTATATCTCTTAAGTATATATTTCTGGGCTGATCAAATACAAGAATAAATGACCCAGGTAGCTGACCTCAGGAATAATATCTGCCTAGAAATTTTAAAAAGGAAGAAGATAGACTTATTCTACAGAGTGCAGTTTTGTATATGTGTCTAATGTGTATGTTACATTCTAAAATGTACATATATGACAATGAACAAACTCTTGCTTGTATTAATGTATTTCTGTGGTCCCATAAAAGAAGGTTGTTTAAAGAACACTAGCCTATTCTGTTGTTATATCTCTCTTTACCTCAAAGGACAATCACACAGATGTTAAGTCACAATGTACCAGTTAAGTGGCCTGACTCTATCTTTCTCTGTAGTAAAGTTTTCAAGTTGTTAGAATCAAGTGTACTGAATTCAGTAGAATAGTTTTGGCATGTGTATATGCACTTCAATAGATATAGCTTCAGTTCCTCTCGGGTTAGTATCAGGGAGGTTATTGTGTGAAACAATAGCCTTCAAACAGTTTTGTAAACTTATTCCAGAGTAGGTGGCAACCACAGGTTGCACCTGGATTTCCTTTCTGCAGCATTTACTAACTTTTTCATATTAGCTGGCCTTGAATATCTTTGTCCCAGCACTGTCCCTGAGGCTGACTAGTTTCCTTTCTTGATTTCTTTTGCATAGCAAAGAGACCTGAACTCTTTTCTCTGGACAATCCGGAGAGACCCTCCTGCCTACTTGTTTGGCACCATCCATGTGCCTTACACACGGGTGTGGGACTTTGTTCCTGAGAACTCCAAAGCTGCTTTTCAAGCCAGTTCCAGTGTGTACTTTGAACTGGATCTCACGAATCCTTCCACCATCTCAGGCCTGGCCAGCTGTCAGTTGCTTCCTCATGGGGAGAATTTACAGGATGTGCTTCCCCAAGATCTTTACCACCGCCTCAAACGCCATCTTGAGTATGTCAGGTTGATGCTGCCTCACTGGATGACTCCAGACCAAAGGGGCAAAGGCCTTTACGCAGATTACCTTTTCAATGCTATTGCTGGAAACTGGGAACGCAAAAGACCTGTCTGGGTGATGCTGATGGTCAACTCCTTGACCGAGACGGACATCCGTTCACGGGGAGTGCCGGTGTTGGACCTCTACCTGGCTCAGGAGGCTGAAAGGATGAAGAAAAGCACAGGAGCTGTGGAGAGAGTGGAAGAGCAATGCCACCCTCTGAATGGGCTGAACTTCTCCCAGGTAAGGCAGTCTAGAGCTTTTAAGCTTTCCAAAGAATGGCTTTCCTTTAAGAAGGGCTGGCAGTAGTTTGGGGCCAGGCAGAAACTGCAGAATGAATTAAGCCCAGAGGCTAGTGCATCTTAGGTTTATTTTCTTCTATGAACAAATTCGTCTAGGAAATCTAGGTTTATGGCAGTACAGATAGTTGGTTTTTCTCTTTGGATAGTGTGATTATCCTCCATTACAACATGGAGTCAGAACAGGCGGTTAGAGCCCTGAATACCTGTGCAATGCAGGAATCACATTTAAAGCCTCCTTGGCACACATGTCTTTCCTAAACAAGAATGACACGTGTGTGTCAAGGTAGAACTACACTGTTATTTCTTCCATAATTCGTGGGTATGGGTAAATATGAAAACTCGGTTACCTTGAAGGTAATCTCAAGGCGCATCTGCAAGTTGGGTGTGGTAGAAAAAGATCAGTGCTGCAGTGACGCCTTGGTTTTGGTCTCCTTATACAATACACTGAAAAGACGATCAGACAAGTAATATGTGACATACACGCACATAAAGAAAGTAGATAGGCACTTAGCGCTTTCTATTTCAGCAAACATTGATGCTGGTATCTCAGAGATCAGGATTATTGTGTCACAGCCACAGAAAATTATGTGAAATGATGTCCTTGTACATGTTAATGGCATGCAGGGGAGTGGTCTGAGGACAGAAAATACAGCCATTTGGCCAGGATCTGCTCAGTGCTGAGATCAGTGCCATGGATTCTGTGGAAAGACAGTTGCTCTCTCTTTTCCATTTTGCCCGACTCATTCGGATCTGGAAGTGGATTGCTTCCCACTCTGTTGCATGTGAAGCATCCCAGCCTTTCTCTGGTTGCTGCTGGACACACACTGTCTCCCGATGACCCGAATGTCTGTTTTAAAGGGATGAAAAAAGGGCATATGTAATACAGTGCAATCCTATATGTGTCTATTAAGCAGTAAGCTCTGTTGAATTCAGGAGGGCTTCGTTCCAAGAACATACGGACAGGAATGCATCTTAAAGACAGCATGTTTACTGTTTTATAGTTATATAAAATGCTGTAGCACTCATGAAAGAACGCAGCTTCTAATTATATTTGGACAGGCGTTTATGCCTCTTTAAATCCTCTTCTGGAGAATTCTGATACAGGCTTGTTTTCTATTTCTGAATGTAGATGTTATCTTTATAGTAGTACAGTCTATATCAGTCAAAAGAGATACATCATTTAGGGCATTCACAAGGGTTGTGTTCACTCATACCTAATCTATATTCATTTATTGCGTGTTGTAAAATTGTTTAGAGTAAATGACGTGGTGTTAACTGATTTTTGTGTTGTATGTATGTGTGTTAATGGCATTAAAATATGGATTGTAAAATTACAGCTGTTCTTTGTTTACAACAATACCATCAGCATTAGACACCCATTGTGTTCACAATCCAGGTCTATCTCTTGATTTAGGTAATGGGCTTCATATGCTTCTCTGAAGAATAAATTGCCTGTGCGATTTTGGAAGGAGCACTGTTTTTCATTAACCCTCTTCCAAATATCACCTGTGAAAATATGTAATTAGTTGATCATCCTGCCAAAAATTAGATGGCTGGATTGAAACAAAATGGGAAAAACATGCTAACGGACTCATTTTGTGGTTTATAGTTGTTTGTCCAAATAATTTCAGTTTTGATATAGTCACAGGAAAAGTACACATCCTGTGACCGAACAGAATCAGATCTTTACTTAGAAAGTAATCACCTAACATCCATTAAAGGAGAGGTAGGGAACCTGTGACCTTCAGATGTTGCTTGACTAGAGTGGATTATCTACAGTACATTGATAACAAGGATGATGGAACTTGTTTGATTCCCATTTTCCCTTCTTCATTGACCATGCTGTTGATGTGGATGGAAGCTGAATTTCTCCCCTTAAAGCACCACAGATTTCTCAGCCTTGGATTAAGGGATTCTCTAGGAATCCCCCTTCCAAGTGAGGAATTTCACTCCAGATACAACTTTTCCATAAATAGCTTATAACAGTGTACTGATAGATTATTGATAGATTTTGTGTTCCCACTTATGAATTGTTTGTTGGGCTGCACACTAATGATGTATTTTTGTCATCTAATCCCAAAGATCCTTCTCTAAGTAAATGCATTTTTAGTTCTTGAATTCAAATCCATGTTTTTTTCTGTTCTAGAGTTATAAGAAAATGGGGCTGTGCAAAGGTTTAAAATAGGCTTTACTATTTCAATAACAGTTTCATGATATTTTATTAATATTGGCATTGTAGTATAAATATTTTCAGGATTTGAAGAGTGTTAATGGAATTTCAAATCTGTGTTCTTCAATTTAATCATGCGTATGCAGTGAGTGTCTATGATGAAGCATTAGTTCCATTTTTAAAATAGCTTTTAAAAATGACTAGAAGGAATCCAACAAATCAGTAGCAACAAATGAATCAATATTCTTCAGCCTACTTATTGAAAAGTGAACAAAATATTTGTGACAGTTTCATTGAGGGGTTAACTTTCAGTTTCCTATATTAAATGCAGACCACAGTGCTTGAAACGAAGTTCAAAATAATTAGCCAGAGACACACTATGCCTCTTATGACACTGAGTCTCTATCAGGTCAAATAGTACTTAAAACTTTTAAAAGCCCTTCATAAAAATGTGCAGTGGGAAGCTTTTCAGATCTGAACTATATTACACATTTTTGTGGATGTAAGCAAGAAATCTCTCTTTGTAATCTCTCGAGATGGGAACTAATGCTGGTTTAGTTTTTTTTCCTCCCTGAAATTCTGATTTTAACTCTGCCCATCATTATTCCTTTACTTTTCTTAGCAGATTTTCCTGCATAATAAAGGGAGAAAAGATTAAATACTCAAACAGGGCTTTGGTTTTATAAAGCCATTAATCCCAGACTCATTGATTTGGGATAGTTAAATGATCATTGCCATTCAGAAACAGTTGTCTCTCTGATTTTAAATATTTTTTGGAAGTTTTTATTCTGGCTGGGGAACCAGTTGATCCCAAGGTGGCTGCTATGCTTTCATTTCTGTGCATGTCCTTTATAGAATAAATTGAGGTGGTAGCAGAATTATTGTGGAGACAGCTGTCTGAAAGATACATTAAAAAACCAAAGATAGTCTTGCTGAAGGCAAAAGAAGAGAAAATAAAAGGTAGATGAAAAGCTAGGTCTCTTCTGTCTTTTTTGTAATGTGTTCTAAGAACTGGCTGGCCTTCACACCTGGCAAATTGTTCAAATGGAGCAATTTGTAATGTTATCATTTGGTCTAGCAATTCTGCTGTTGGTTTTACTGTTATGGCCTTAATTGAAAGGAGTGGATTATGATGAAGTAGATTTCCTCTCTAAATTCTGAATCTTGGGCCTTCTTCTAAGAAACATATAATTAGTGGTATTAATGGTGGAAATTAGAAATTGACCAGAATTTGTTTTCCAGTGGTATGTCTAGGCTGATGGGTACAACATCTGTGATCATTTATAGCCCTGAATCTGTTTGAGCATCAATAGGGCTCTTTTTAACCTGCTTTCAGCATTGCTTTAATTGCAATACGTGTAACTTACAAAATTTGGAAACAAGGTCCCAGAAGGCATGCTGTAGTGAAATGTTCTTAAGCATTTGCTTTCAAAAATTTCTAAGGGAGAAACAAGCGGTTTGCTCTTCCTCCTAAAACTGCTTACCTTTTTTACTCCTTTCCCATCCTTATGTTACTGAAAATCTAAATGGGATACCACAAAGTATCCATTTATCCAATACTGGTTTCTTATGGCTTCTGGAACATACCTTCTAGCTTCAAAGGAAGAAAACTCAATTTTTTAGAACCTTCACCAGTACTTGAAGGTGTATGTAAAATTTTGATTCAGAGATTATGGTAAAATTTTAACAAGCCATAGTGGCCTAATTCACTTATGTTAAGACATAAACCATGATTTACAATCATAATGGTTGAGTTCCCATGTTAAGCCAAAACCAAATATACGACGCACCAGTTTAACATGACATATTCTGAATGGAAAATTGCATTTTCAAGGTAAATTCCTTTGCATCATTTAATTCTTCCCTAACCTGATGTCTTAGTATACTGATCTGAACTCAGAGGGGCTTTGTTGTAAACCTTCATCGGTTTGCTTGCATAAAAGACCCAATTGAACTGTTTCCTTTGTGCAGCAAACAGAAGGAAAAAAAACACCTTGGTATCCCAAGGTTCTCTTCCCTAGTTTTCACTTCAGTTTATATGGAGGAAAATCCTTCCCCAGCTAAAAACACTCCACTATTTCAGCAGCAAAACCACTCAGTGCTGCTGCCAAGAATATAATATGGACATAGTCAACTCAGCTCAAGGGAGAATTTTAACAGGATCCAATTAAAGTCCCATTGGAATTAAGGGGATTTATTACAGAATAAGCATGCATTGGTTTATGCTTCCTGACTGGGCCCAGATTTCAGCAGTTTTTAGGTGTGCGTGAGTGTGTGCGTGTATGCAAGAGAGAGTAATTTATGTGTGGCAGAATGGTTTGTACATTAATATGCATATGGGCATCAATTTTACTTTGCAATTAAATTGCTTTGTTGTATTAGCAATTCATATACATTTATTTATTTTTTTGGTCTGACCTTGCCTTCTTTTTAGAGTGTGGACTTTGTTGGATATTTCATATATGTAGACAAATATATATCACATGCACATATTTGCTGGGAGAAAATAATCCCCAGGATTGCTTTCAGTGGGAGTTGGGAACCATAGCTGAGAATGTAGAGAAGCTGGGTGATATAGAGGATTTTTATCTGTTTAGAAGCTAACAAGCAAACAATCCAGAAAATGGTGGTGAAAAAAACACTTCCATACTGATGCTAAGAAAACTGTTCATATACTCATCAGGAGTCAAGTACGATCTGAGGATATTTTATTTTTATTATTGTGGAGGAACAAAACAGCTCAAACCAACCAGCATCTTGAACTGTGCCCA